GACTTCTTCTGCCTTACTGTCCTTTTAATTCTTATTAGCTGAGTCACTCCTCAGCCGTTCCTTTATTTAGTCTATAGTTGGACTTGTGTATACTTTCTAGTGCTAAGTTAATATTATTAATGATGATTTCATGTGTTTATTAATCTCCCTTTGTACAATGATTCTGTTTCAACAGAGTTTATTGACCTCTTGAAGAACTTACCCCAAAACTATAGTCTTTTTGTTAATATTTAAACTAAAGGTATATCTTAGAACAAAGACGAAATGAATGTTATAGGGAAAATCATAACATAGCAAGTTCTGAATGGCATGAGATTTATTAGTCTGACATCCCTGGCATCATTCATACTGCATGTCTGGAGATGTAGCAATTTGAGTGTGAATATATAGAATGGTAAAAATGAAAGCTCTTGTGCAAAGAGAGAGGAGATAAGGGTAGAAAGTGAAGACATAAACCAGTACTACTATGTTTTGTCTGACAGCCTTCAGTTGTAGGCTGGGTTCTCCTCTTCTGTGAATTTCCAGGCATTTTCACCTTGCTTCTTCAAAACCCTGTGTATCTCCAAAGGTGTTGAAAAGTGTCTGTGTGCAGGTAGCACCTTGAGGTCTGCTTGTCTTGCACTGCATGCTGCACTCTTCCTTAAGCAACACCTGCAGGAAACAAAAATGGAAAACTTTTGGTATGGAAATCTCACATGATGTCTTCAAGTGAGGTGAGCCATATCAGTTTAAGGGAGTTTGGGGAGGAAAAAAGCAGAAATTAACAAATACCCCTAATCAAGCAGCATATTGAGTGGATGTGTTGTTCAAAGTGAAGAAGAACTTAAATGCTTTTCATAGGGAGACTGTTGATATTACATCTGAAAGATTAGAAAGCTCTTTCTTAGTAGGGATTGGTAAATTACAATATAGTTCTGTTGTCACCTAATGAAAAATGAAATTGATTTGCTAAAAGAGAGAATATAACTTTGCTTTCTTACACAGAAGCCGTGCAGTTTTGCCTGTACTAGAGAAGTTTGTACAATACTATTTTCTCATTTATAGTTGAGACTTACAGTTAACTTAAAGTCTTTCCTTGTAGCTGGCAGTTGAGAGTCTTGTATGTTGTTGAATGACTCAGGCAGCATTGTATGGATACTTTCAGGGGGCATTTTTATTTTTCACTAAAATCAATTTGGATTTTGATTTTAAAAAACAACACTTTTGCTGAAATCCATTAGCCAGATCTAACTAGAAGTTCACAAAATGTTATCATCACCATTTCTCCTGGTTAGGCAGTGATATGGTTGGATATCACAGATGACTTACAGAAAATTGCATGAGACTCATTAGGCTAAATCAGGTTTTCTGACAAAAGCCTCACATCTGCAAAGTTACCTCCCAAAACAGGTAGAAACTTCTAGGTATTGCTGCTTGAATTTCATGCTCTTTGTTAGCTGAATCTCTTACCAACTTTCTTTTTATTTAGTCTTAAACTGTCCTGGGTATACTTTCAGTACTACCTGTATTTCTATGCCGAAGGACTCCAGTACTGTAGCTACCTGTGTAATATCTTTCTCAAAAATAAATGTAAGCCCTCAAGGTTCAAGTAGCCCCTTTCTCTCTTCTGCTACTTGTGGAGTGTGCTCTGCTCAGCAGTTATGATGGAAGAGTATGGAAGGCAGGCTTTTCTCAACACTGTGTGTTACTAGGTCTCAAAGCATCCATCACTTCTTCAGTATTCCTGAGCTGGTGGGTTCCTGGTCAATATTTCCATCCCTGGACAACAGGGTGCCTGGGATTTCTCATCAAATGTGATATCACTTGTAACACTTTGCTAATTTAAGGTAAAAACAAGGTGAGATTATTTTACTTCAGAGTGAGAAGCTTAACAAAGGCTATCGTCATTTGGAGAGAGACATAAAAGCAGAAGTAGAACCTTACTTTATAACTGCCTGTATGTTAGTGTAGCTCCAAGAGGTTGTCCCTCTCTGCTTCATCTAACTACAAAAGCTGCCAAGAGATTCAGCATAGTGGGGACCTAGTCCTTAGATGGCAACCTTCCAGGTTAGATCCCCGTACTGGAGGGGATCTGTCACTGAGGAGAGAATTTTGTCTGCAGAACCCTTTTGCTACCTGGCATTAATTTTCACAACTTGAATCTCTTCTGAGACTTTCCTGTGGTACATAGCCTCATGCTTAACCAGGACTCCAAACTTTTCCCAGGGTCTTGTTCACTGTTGCAGCCTGTATGGCTTTACACATTTTTACCTCCAGTGCTATCACCTGTCCAGACAATAAAAAAAATCTTTGCTAGATGTGAATACAAAGCCTGACAGCTGGCATGATGTTTTATTTGGCCATAAACAAGCTGCTTAACCAGAGTCTGAACAGAATTTTTTGTTCAGATAGCTGTGGGGAAGGCTTTTCGCTGCACAAAACCCTTCAAAATGTACATACTGAGAACTGTGCTTCATAGAAGAAAGAATGCTGAAAACCATGCAAATATACAAGAGAGACTAAAGAATGCAGCTCATAAATAGCCCCTCATACAGGTGGCTGTTACAGTAACTGTGCAAAGATTGAGGGAGACAACAGGACTGATGCTGCAGCCTGGGTTAGTGGGGTTAGAGTAGAGGTTATAGCAGTGATAGTATTTCGCTTCTCTTAAAAGAACCCCCCCAAAGAAACAAACAAAACCAAATAAACCACCCATTTTCTTTTTTTGGTCTTTACTCACAGTTTATATTCTTCCATGTAGACAAGAAGCTATTTTTCCACGCAGCTCATTCTTCACTATTAAGATAAAAAGATGTATGTCTCTCTTTGAGTCCCTTGGCTTGGTAGGAAGGGAGCTTTGTTTTCTTTATTCACTAACTTTTTTACTAGTTGGCGTATCTACAGGACAGAGTCTTATTTGTGTGGGTGCACAGGATGGCACTGACAAATTATTTGGGTTGGTAATCACAAAGAAAATGCATATATATTTGGGCTCTTCATTGTGACAGTGTATGCATAGTAAAATTTGTAAGCTTACATGTTTATTGGAATTTATTTACATTTATTCAACCTTCTCTTGCATTCAGTTCTTTTTTTATGCTGTTTGCCATGCGAAGCAGGTCAAAAATCTTACAGTTCTTGCTCCTTCACAAGTAGAACTTTCAGCATCTTTTAAAATGCAAATACCAGTTCATGCAAAAAGAAATCTACTTACAATGATTTGTATTTGTTTATTTATTTATTATAGTCTAAATCTACAGTACAGAATACATGACATTCTGCATAGTATATTAATTCAGCTTCATACAGTATCCCTTAAAAGGTGGTCCAGGGAGGTGCAGGTTTCCATCTAGTACAGTGAACCTGACTGGGGTAGGGTTGTAGGTTTGTGTGCTTCTTGGTGGTGTGTGCCTGGTGCTGACTGGAATGGTGAGCTGGTGCCATGACGTAGTGCTAGCTGAGCACAGTGTGTGGCAGCTAATGGAGCTGCACATTTGTGCATTGCAGCTCTGTTCTAAGTATGTAATGTGGCTGCTGCAGTTTTTATTATTAATGGGTCATGTCTCAATTTTATACATCATGTGTTACCACTACCACAATTTCTTTCTCTAGGCATCTTTCAGGCTGACCTCAGAGAAACCATTTCTAAAAACCTGTGCATCTTCTTTTACACGTATACAATAAAGCAAGATATCAATCCATTTTTATGCTGAAAAATGTAATATACACATTATTAATAGTCCAGTGGTGCCACATGTAGAGATGCAAGATGCCCTGATACATTCTGGCTGAACTTAGGTGTTCTGAAGGGCAAACAGCGCGTTCATGACAAAGACAACAGATATTTTTCATGTGTGAACTTAAGATAAGGGACCTAGCTGTCAGGTCAGCCATTCTTCAAGGGAAGAGTAGTCTGGGTAACTATCCCTCAACACTTAGTAGTGCTGGGAGGTGAAGGTAATGCTGGACAGCAGTGGGGGTAATGCTGGATGGGCTGTGAGCACTTTGAGGCTGGAGCTGTGTTTCTGGCCTGCAGATGTGCCCCATCTGGAATAAGTACATCCTCTTCCATGAGTGAGATGCCAAAGGACCACTGCAGTATCTGTAATAGCAACAAGCGCTCCTGATACTTCCTAGGACCTGAGTAATCCCAGCACTGTAGAAGTGTTTCCCTGGCTGCTGGGTTGGAAAAATGCCACCAGTTGCTGTCAAACTGGCTTCTCTCATTTCTTTTTCAGGCCTAGGGTTATTTACATCCCTGGTATTTCCCTGGTAACACAGTCAGCTGGCATTCAAAGCTAGAACGAGTGGCGTAATTAGCTTCACTGAGTGCAGTCCAAACTTGATAGCAACTCTACAGAGCAAAGACTGCTTCTCAAAAGCCTTTAGATACACAGATCCCAAAATTACAGTCGCAGCGCTAAGTGTCTCACCTGTCTGTCAGACAAGGTGACAGCAGCTGAGGAGCCCAGGGCCACCTGCCTAACTGGTACTTAGATGACACCTGCTGGTGAAGTGTCCCTGCTCTTCAGGGAGATTTTCCATGCACAGAACAAACTGTTCACAGATGTGCCACAGCGCTGGGCTTAAGGTGCCATCCTGCCGAGAAGAAGAGCTGCCTGTGGACAAAGCGTATCTCTTACCTTAAACTATGAACTGGTGTCATTAGAGAGTTTAGAGCCAAACCACAGAGGAGAAATTTGTTGAAAATGACATCCACAATTCAATTTTTTCAGCTTGGCTCTGTCTTGCACCTTAATCGCCGGTGTTTGAGTACGGTAATGTGTGGATGTGTTTAATCCATCTAGGGGAGTGTTCAGAACTTTGCTGGACAGGGCCTTTCACAGGGTGGTGTCACTTTGGAGCTGGCCCTGCTGTGGGTCAGATAAGTGGCAGCCAGAAGTCCCTTCCAACTTACATCATTCTGTGATTCTGTGGTTCTGTCTGCAAGTGCTGCAACCGTATGCTTGAAATCAAGCTTGAAAATATTTTCAAGTCGATGTTGTTTCTTACTCTTCCAGATAGCCTCAGTTTTTTCCAAAAGCAGCAGCATCGGAGGGAGAAATGGGAACAAAATCATATGGCTGACAGAAGGGTTTCTCGGCGCTCTGTCAGCAAGGAGCGATGGGTGGAGACACTTGTGGTTGCAGACAGTAAGATGGTTGAGTATCATGGAAGTGACCATGTGGAATCATATATCCTCACTATAATGAATATGGTAGGTACAGTATTTCCTTTTTTTAGATAGATGAATGAAGCAAATTGTAACTTGATTATGTTACTGATCACCTTGAAACAAGTCTGTAACATTGTTCACTGAAAGAAATGTAATATCATTCATTTATATTCATTGGAGCTCTGTATTTTAAAGCATTTTTTACCTTGTATTTTGCATAGGCATAATTTTTCTCTGGATTTTAAGTGAGAGAAGTTTCATAGCTATAAATGCTATCATGAATCTTCTTTCCACTGAAATTCACTGTCTCCCCTGGAACCTGTTGCTCATTAGGGATTTCAGGTTGGTAGCTACAGCAACAGAGAGAAATTCTACAGGTTTAAGTGTATGGATTCTTTCCCATGTCTGTGGATGAGAAATCATAGAATCTTAGGCTGGAAAAGACTTCCAAGATCATCAAGCCCAACCACCAACCCAACACCACCATGCCTGCTAAACCATATCCCAAGGAGCCACTTTTACACATTTTTTGAACACTTCCAGTGACAGTGACTCAGCCACTTCCCTAGGCAGCCTATACCCATGCCTGACCAAGAAAGGCACATAGGAGCCCACTGGAAATTGTAGTAACTTAGCAAGAGCTAAAATGTCAGTGTGTTACTGATATTTTAGTAATATCAGTATTGATATTACTAAATTGAGTAATTTTGTAATTTGAGGCAGTGAGCCTGATTTAACAGACACAAAGCTGATATGACCACGTGAGGTTTTGTCCACACAAGGAAATTATATGGAAGAAAACCCTGTCATGATCAGATTCAGGAACAAACAAGTCTTAACATTTTCTCTGTGGTCTGTACCTGAGACATTAGGGTTGCTCACAATGATTCAGTTTTCAGTCTAATACCTTGAAAAATACCCATATCAAAACCAGATCTTTATAAACACAATTGCCACTTCATTTTGGTAATTTCTTCTTAAGCGGTCTTCTCCAAAACAGTTTTGACCCAAATGCAATCTATACTGTCCATTCGTATTTCTTGTGATGTATGGCAAAGCTCACTTGTAGATAGGTTATGACTGTCTTCTGTTCCTATTCCCTTTCCTCCTGATTTGACTCAAATTTTTGCTGAGTTCAGTTCTTGCTCTTTTTTTGTGGATATTTTTTGTAAATGGATTCATTATCTTCTGCTTTTCTTCTTATTATCCACTTCTGTGCTGTGAAAACATAAGAGTGTCCATCATTTAACTGATATCTCTTTGCCTAATACTGACTAATTTTTGCTTTATTGTGGCAGAAGCTGATTCCTATCAAATCAGAACAGGATAATTTGATATGCTGGGTTTTTTGCACACTGAGTGGACCTCTCCATCAGTGTTACGTGACTGTAGATGTTATGTTCTTCTCTGCTGGTGTTTTTTAAGAATGCTGAAGTTCTTGAAAGGGAAATGGAGATAAAATAATGTGTGTGCTTTTGCTGTTCAGCTTAGGAGCTTTTGCCAAATCCTGTATCATCACTCATTTGGCAGAGCTGCCCTTTGCAGTAGTTCTAACATTTTTGCATTTCAGTAAACTTTCAATGAAGTGCATTGAGGATTTAAAGAACAAAACAACACCCCCACCCCAAGGTGAACAGTGCGCTTGCAGTAAATGTTGTATTTTCTCTCTGAAGTCCTGTTCTGCTATAGAGATATCAGTTAATCTCATACCTCCTGGCTCTGGCACAGGTCACAGGGTTGTTCCACGATCCAAGCATTGGCAATGCAATTCACATTGTGCTGGTCCGGCTCATCCTCTTTGAGGAGGAGGAGGTAAGGTTTTTACTTTCTTCAAATGTCACTTATAAAAGTCAAGAGTTCAATGCATTGAGCCACACTTATGGAGAGGGGGGTTTATTTGATTAAAATAAGGTGTTCATTTTACTCTTCTGTTAGTCTTTGGCGTATCTGTTTTTAGGATAAATGCTGCCTTGGACAGCAGAGTATTTAGCTGATGACATTAGGTGTTCCTGCATAAAATCACCAAGGAAAATGTAATTAAAACAGACAAATTAGGAATGTGGAAATGGAATCTCCCCAGTGTCAAAAGAACATGCAATGCCAAGGAAGACTAGACAAGAAACAGAAATTAATGTGTGCATCATCACTCAGAATCTAATTACCTAGTATTACCTGAAATGTATTATAAGTTGTAATGCTAGAGTATCTGCAGATCTCTGAAGAAGTAAATCTGTTATTGTGCAGCTCAAACACACGTTTGTTTTTGGATGTCTTTCAAAACAAAAGACTGAGCATTAAGCAGATGCTAATTGCTGTAAATCAGCTATATATTCGTAGTTTCCAGGGTCTCTCATTCACAAATGCGTTGCTACATGCTTAAATACATGCTGATTGTCATAATTTTATAGCTATTTTTAAAACATGGTGCATGACTTAACTTGCTGTGACTGCAGGAACATAAGGGGATTTTCTCAGTGCCTTATGGTTATGACCGCAAGCCAGATAGTCCCAGTGTTGTTGAAGGCCATGAACCAAGCCATGGGGCCAGGCTATGTCTTCTGTTAGGATAGAGCCTATTGTTGTAGTCCTCAGTGTAAGAATATGCAGGCCAAACACTGTATCTCTTGTCTTAACAGGACAGTTAGGACCTGAAGTCCATGGTGGCCTCCAGTTAAGTTTAATTGCTATATTTCTGTGGCTGTTTTGAAAATGAACAGTGGATTCCTGTTCAGTTGAGCATGGCAATGTTGGAAGCAGCAGTGTTGAGTATCTTTCAAAATTTGATTTTATGTTACCCAGAAATTACTATCTGGTAACAATAGTTTCTGCTTTGCAAAATGTTGATTTTACTTAAACAGAGTCAACTGCAACAAGATACAGCGAATGCCCAAGACCACAAATGAGAAAATGTTTTTGAATTAAATTATTTTGCATACTTTGTGTTTCAGAAGAAATTTCAGTGATTTGAAAGTATACTATAAAATGATAAGATGAGGTAGAAACACCTATGACTGCACTGTTTCTCCTTGGAATTGAAAATTGTGTGAGAAGTACACCTTTAAAAACATAATTGTTCCCTAAGCATGACGTTGTTCACATAACATTGAGCGACAAACTTGAGCATGAAGTCCCATGCTAAGTAGTCTTTACCTTCTCTATGGAGGAAAATTTGCTTTCAAGAGAGTATGAAAAGTTTGAAAATGTTTGAAAGTTTCAATTCAGTGTTGGGTCTTATGAAGCTCACTTACCAAAAGATATGTACATTTCTGGATTTAATTTTTGCTTTTTGCTGCACCGATTACAAAAATGTCAACATTTTAACCTAATTTTCAATATGTTAGATAAATAGATGTCATTGCTACTAATGGTGGCTCTAGCTTTAGATAAAAGCACAGTCAATTGGATTTCAAAGATTAACCACCTTCACAGCTAACATCAACTGACATGTTGTTGCAATGCAGTGTGGAATTTACGATAATATTTTTCCTTCATTTCTCATTAGCAAGGCTTGAAGATAGTTCATCATGCTGATAAGACGCTAGCCAGCTTCTGCAAGTGGCAGAAGAGTGTAAATCCAAAGAGTGAAGTCAACCCTGCACACCATGACGTGGCCGTTCTTCTAACCAGGTACGACAGGTGATGGTGTTTTTTTCATGTAACATATGAACACGTGCTTCCCATAACATCCTTATAGGGAAGCTCAGGAAGGGTGGGCTAGATGAGTGGATGGGGTGGTAGATTGAGAACTGGCTGAATGGCAGAACTCAGAGGGTTGTCATCAGTGGCGTAGAATGTAGTTGGAGGCCTTCAGCTAGCGGGGTTCTCCAGGGCTCAGTACTTAGCCCAGTCTTGTTCAACTTCTTCATCAATGACCTGGATGAAGGGACAGAGTGTACCTTCAACAAGTTTGCTGATGACGCAAAACTGGGAGGAGTTGGCTGATACACCGGAAGGCTGCGCTGCCATTCAGCCAGACCTGGACAATTTGGAGAGTTGGGCAGAGAGGAACCTGATGAGGTTCAACAAGCGCAAGTGCAGGGTGCTGCACCTGGGGAGGAACAACCCAATGCAGCAGTACAGGCTTGGGGCTGACCTGCTGGAAAGCAGCGCTGCAGAGAGGGACTTCGATTTCCTGATGGGCAACCAGTTAACCATGAGCCAGCAGTGTGCCCTGGCTGCCAAGAAGGCCAGTGGGATCCTGGGGTTCATTAAGAAGAGTGTGGCCAGCAGGTCGAGGGAGGTTCTTCTCCTCTTCTACTCTGCCCTAGTGAGGCCTCAGTTCTGAGCTCCCCCATTCAAGAAAGATGAGGAACTTATCTGAAGGGTGGGTGTCAGGAGGATGGGGCCAGACTCTTTTCAGTGGTGCCCAGTGACAGGACAAGGGGCAATGGGCACAAACTGAAGCATAGGAAGTTCCGTCTGAACATGAGGAAGAACTTGTTACTTTGAGGGTGGCAGAGCACTGGAACAAGCTGCGCAGACGGGTTGTGGATTCTCCTTCTCTGGAGATATTCAAAACCCACGAGGTCCTCTGCAGCCTGCTGTAGGTGACCTTGCTTTGGCAGGTTAGTTGGACTAGACCCACAGAGGTCCCTTCCAACCCCTACCATTCTGTGATACTGTGTGATTCATAGGCTCACGCCATCATTTGGTTCATCCTGCATGAAGGATCTGATGAAGATAAGTTGTTTGCGAAACACAGTATTAATGCAAAAATAATGTTGTGTGGGCATGTCCAACATTCATACAGGCAGAGAACATGAGCTGTATTATAAAAACATGGTTAAAGTTAGACCTGGAGTACCTTTTTAAATGGATTGGTTTTCATTTGTTTTCAAAGTACATATAACATTTCCACATATGCATGTGAGTGTTTTATTAGAGATGCATCTGTCAGGAAATTGAGATCTGTATGTCCTGAGAGATCAGCAATTTGCAGAGCTCAGATCATTTTCCCCACTTGATCCTATTTCATTTTGTGCTCAATCACTTCTTTATTCTTCTTTGAGGCAATATACCAAAACAACATAGCATGTAGATGAACAACTTGATAATGACAAATCCTAAAGTAATATACAGGTGCAGCTCAGAATGGAACAGTGTTTTGCAAACACGGTGCCATTTATTTTTAAGCTTTAAAGTGTATGATTTTTAAATGCTATTTCCGTGTTTAAGGAGACAAAAAATATTTTTTAAGTGTGGGCAGGGGAGACAGAGAAAACTTGAAGGTGGTGTCTGAGGTTGCACGGAGTTTGTGGCAGGGCATCAGACGGAACTTCCACGGGTCTGTAAAAGTGGATCCAATCTGCACACAAATGAGAGAAGAAATTGGGTCTAAGGTCTGTAAAAAACAGTCCTACATTAAAGTCTGTCAGGAAAAAAAAAAAAACCCACAAAAAAACCCCCCTCAAGTGGTGCAGTAAAGAAGAGAGTTGACAAATCTTAAAATAAGAATGAGAAAAAGAAGTCTCACAGTGGTGCATGGTTTACCTCTCCAAATAAACATTCACTTGAATGAACTTGACATAAGGTGAGTTTAATAAACCATACCTCAAAACGCTGTCAGAGGTGGAGGCTTTAAAACCTTTCCTTATGCAAGTTGACAGTAACCATAGGTATTTAGGCACTACAGCAACCTAAATATTGGCTACAAGTTATAGCAGTATATGATAGTAGCAGAATTAGCGCCTGTTGTTTTTGTGTATATGTTTGTAAAAACGGCAACGCTATGCTTTGCTTAAAATGCAAATTAGTAATGATATATTGTAAGATAGAGACTTACTACCCAGTTTAAGTTACACTCTACAGTTGTTTTTAAGCTGTTTTAATGACACATCTCTTTTGTGATTCTAGAAAGGACATTTGTGCTGGCATGAATCGTCCATGTGAAACTTTAGGTTTGTCTCATCTGTCAGGCATGTGTCAACCTCACCGAAGCTGTAACATCAATGAAGATTCTGGCCTTCCGTTGGCTTTCACTATTGCTCATGAACTGGGACACAGGTATAGATGAAATTGAAGGGGGGACCTAGCAAAGTTTAATTTATTATTTGTATGTTAATACTCAAATTGGTAGACAGAAACAAACGAGGAGAGAGTTAATGTGTCTATTACTAAAATCAAAACTGCGTTTGTTTTTTCTAAGCAAAGGAATAAGAGAGAGATTCTTAAGCCGTTGACCTTTGTTTACATTTACAGCTGTCCAGTCAGCCTTTTTTAACAGAGTCTGCTAGGGCAGTACATCAGGATGAAATAATTAAGCTAGAAAGATGCATCACTTAATTGTGCTAATTTTTCCAAACATATACTGAATTACTATACAGTTGCTCTAGATGATCTCCAAATTAATCCAAATCATTTACATAGAACATGCCTATTTCGTTATATCAGGGTATTTCAGTATTGCGGATGAGCTAGAAACTATCTTTAACTCAAGCAGTCAAACTTCACAGAAATATCAAATCTTTGTTCTCCTTTCTAACAAATAAATAAAGTCACTTTTGGGCATTTCGTAATAACTGGTATCTTCTGTATCTTAATATTGCTATTGTGGATACACTTAGGGCAAGTCAGCTAAAGCTCCTGGGCATTTAATTTCAGACATGGCTAAACTTTTTTTTATGATTGGGTATTTTTGCCTGAACTGGATTTCTCAGTATTTCAGGTTTCTGAGGGTTTTTTCGTTGGCTAGTTGGTTTATTAAACTGACCTGAAAAATTCGGATTTTTGAGTCCATTTTAACTCTGAGCTGTTTTCCGCGGGGCATAGTGTTGTCTTATGGATACTCTGGTTTGGCTATGATGCGTGCACTTTCAGCTGGACCATGTTGCTTTGCTTTGACGTGTTCATTGCTGTATCTACAATCACATTACTTCTGTTGTGCACCTAACCACCAATCAGAATGAAGTCTGTATTTCCTGATGGGATATTCTAATAATAATCATCATCATTTGATACAAAGATTGCTCAAGTATTGATCCTATCACACATGAATTGGCCTTTCTTTATTCAGCCTTCTAATTGCCAGAAAGGAAATAGGAGAAGTAAATACTGCTGAAATCATTACAACTGGATCTGGATGCTCTAGCTTTAGTTAGTGGTCCCGCAGCCTCTTGCTGACAGGGAGCGTTTTTCATTAACCCTAGTAATCAGAAGACACTTCTTCCCCATAGAGCCATGCATGACCTTCTCCTCATCTAGCCTGAGTGGCTGGTAAGTCACTGTCCTTTGAATACGGTGAGATGGAGTACTGCTATACTTGCCTTTGCAGGAGTGGTGCAGGGCCTTGCCTCTAAGGATTGTCTCCACAAAGAAAACTGAATACTCTAGGGTTTGTTGTTAACATGGAATCATTCTTCCCTCATGCGAGGTTAGAGTACCTATGTTAAAAAGTTAAAAGTATGGACAATAAAAGTCAGTAAGAACAGATGAACAAAAAATGAGAAGAAAGCCATGCACCTATTCCACAGATGAATGCCAGAAGTCAACTCTTCCCCAAACTGTCCCTCTAGATGTTCACAGCGTCCTGTGCTGACAGACCACCTTTATGGAAAAGAGCCTGTCAGCAAGGGGACGGACTTGCTTTTATGCCTCAGACCTGTTACTGGAGTTGATTCTGACTGAAATCGTGCCCTGCTTCTGGAACATTTGAGTCATGGTACAATTACATTTTCCAGAAGCAAAGTCTTAAGTGGTTTGAACTCACTTTATCTGATCCTTTACTGAATCATGACCTGAGTCAGTTTTCACTGCTCTTTCACACAAGGGCATATACACCTTCAGATGTTAACCGTGTAGAAGTCAACACCTTCATGTATCAATATCTTTGTATATTACTATTTCAGATAATCTCCTTCATGTTGAGGTGGCATGGAGGCATGTATATTTAGTCAGTTGGATCCCACACAATGTTTTTTGTATATGACTTTTACGAGCTGTTGAATGAAGAAATTTCTTGATAAGTCAGAGAAGCCAGAGAGAGCCATGCTGGGAAGACCTGCTATGGACATCTGTTTGTAAGACACGGTTTGAGAAAGCTAAATAGGAAGAAGGAGTGGACGCTGGAGACAAGTTCACTGAGCATTCAGTAATTTTGAAAACAATATCTCTGTTTCAATGTATCAAAAGAGATTTAAAAAGCAGCAAGCAATAGAGATGTGATAATAAGAGACTGTAAGACAGAGTGTAGCAAAGCTTGATCTTAGTTAAAGTGGTACAAGCCTGAAATAACTGGGATCCAAGAGCTAGGAAGCGCTCTTAGCTTTAGCAGCTTTAACGTAACTTGGAGCTTTAAACCGTGACTCCCAGCCCAACTGTGCGACATTGTTTTGACTCCTTTAAAAACAGCCCTGATTATAGTCTCTGACAGTCTGTTCTTTATTTTGTGCAGGACAATATTGCTGTACTTAACTGACATATTTGAAGTCCTGCTGGAGTGTAGATTTTTTGCAGGTTTTGGGTCAGATCTTCCATATTTTTTTAGGAAACAAGTATCTACAACTCACCAGGGAGGAAGCAACCTTAGTGTCTTTTTAAGCACAATGTGCAACCCATAGGTGGGTGTTGGGGTACAACCAATCAGCTAGAATAATTAGATGTTGTTTTTCATCTCCAGTTTTGGTATCCAGCACGATGGAAAAGAGAATGACTGTGAGCCTGTTGGAAAGCGCCCATATATTATGTCCCGACAGTTGCAGTATGATCCTACTCCACTCACCTGGTCACAGTGCAGCAAGGAATACATCACACGTTTCCTAGAGTGAGTGATTGGATTGTATCATTTCCCTGAAAGAGTACAACCGTGTATGAGACGTTTATGTGGAGTTGGAACTAAATCCTGTATTATTATATTACTGAATGTAGGTTTTTATAGTGTGCTTCCCATGGAGGACAAACCCCAGGCTTATTGCTAGCTTACCATTTGGGAAAAGTTCCTTTATATTCTTGTTTTCAAGAAGTGAACTCAAGCATTGTCATATCAGCTCAGGTTTGGTGCAACCTGCTTTTTGCAGTTATCAGGAGGAAGGAAGCATTTCTGTCAAGGACTTTGATGGAACATCATAGACTTTGCTTTTGACCACAATGACATGTACTTGACTTCAATGACTTGTTCAATTTAGTTATGTTCTTTTTAAGAGCAATAATATGGTATAACTTTAACCAGAGGCGGTGGAGTGCTCTGAAGCCACTCATCAAAGCATAATGAACTCGTGATATTTCCACTTTGACAAGCTATATTTCACTTTGAAAACCCTCCCTTACTAGATGGAGAGCTGTTTCTTAGCAGTACTTCTGCATAACTTAGCTGGAATCTAGAAGCATTATTTCCAAAGGCCATATGCAAAATTATCATTAAGAATTAGATGCTGAAAGTCTGTATTGAACTGTCAAAAAAGTATGATTGTAGGGGTTTTTTTATTATGCAATTTTTGTCTTTTAGTCGTGGGTGGGGATTCTGTCTGGATGATATCCCCCAAAAACAAGTTTTAAAGTCCCCAATTATTGCTCCTGGAGTGATTTATGATGTGCATCACCAGTGCCAGCTTCAGTATGGTTCCAATGCTACTTTCTGTGAAGATGTGGACGTAAGTGCTGTATGTTTTTCTTTATTCTCCTAATAAGAACTTAAGTTTCTTGAACTCTGTGGAAATGCAGTCAGTGAACCTCAGTTGCTATATACAAATGCGGCGTGTTCAAAGTCTCATAGGCTAGATGTGCAGTGAAGGCATTGCCTAACACTGTTTTATTTGGGCTCTGCACATTCCGGAAGGGAGTGGTTGCACTGTTTGCCTTGTCTTTTGCAAGACCTTTACTGGATCTGGCGCCATATCTATTGTTAAACACTTGTCATTTTTGTTTTAAACTTGTAATACTGATCTTAGGTAAATTATCAATGCAGCTTAAATCGCAGTGTAAAAACCAAGATGCTCCAAGCTTATATCTTTCACCTGACCAAACTGTTCTGGGAACATATCTTCAGTTCCAGGAAGAGTTTTCTGAAGAAATCAGGGTTGGACTCTCTTCCCATATGTCCAGAGTTTTCACTCTTGATGATCTAACTAATTAAAAGAAATTTTAGTCCATGTGCCTAGAAGAATCTTTATTTTCCCATCAGACATCGTCTTTTTATGTGGAAATGTGTAATTTACAAAGTATCCTGGGATCTCACAGCATAGCAAAACAGTGCTATGTGGAGATGCAAGGGAAAAGTATAGTCGCAGCACCACAGCTCTCTGCAAGAGCTAGGAGCCACTGCAGAGTAACAGGTTATATTAGCAAAAGGTGCAGTGGTATGGTATTTTAATTGTACCTAGCACGTTCAGAGTTATTTGGCTCTGTACAGCATTTTTCTGTTTAGAACAGTTCGGAAGCAGTGGTTTCAAGTGCTAGCCTAGCTAAGTGATCACTAATTGTTGTTGTATTTTGGGCAGCAATATGCAGCAAACATTGCAGATAGCATCCAGCCCTTGCTCACCCTGTTAAACATAGCCATGGCAGAAGTGGCATTATGGCTATCAGCAGTGCTGGAGTGGCTTTTAGGCAAGGTATTGTGCACAGCTGTGGACTGGGGACTGCTGATGTTGACTGTTTATTCCATTTGGATAATTATGTATATCCTCATCTACCCTTCTATTAGGGAGATTATTTCTGATTAATCTTCTCAGCCTCAATAGATGACATGATTACCAATGTTGAACTGCAACTACTGAATCTGAAGCAGGTATTGAAAGATTGCTTTCATTACTTGCTGTTCCAGATTCCTCAGTTGCTGCAATTTGTCTGTTGGTACAGATAAGACAATTAAAGTGTATTTTTGCAGTATTGGTTCATTCTGTCTCTCCTTGGGCTTGATGCTTTTAAATTTGACATCTCCTGATAAACCAATTTTACAGCTCGACATGTGTCAGAAAATTAATTGATATCACCTCATTTTGTATTTTACTGGAAGGCCTGTGTTTTACAGGTAGCTGCACTGGTGAGGAAAGGAGTTCTGCATAGCATAGTCTGCCTGGCATATTAAATGATCAGTGTAGTCATTTTGGCTAAAAGGTCTGACTGTTCTTTGCCTTTCCACTATTTATGTAACACTCCCTCAGTGACCAGGCTACATTTGTTCTGTAACATTTAATGTTTGACTGCATTCGATCCACAGATTCTTTTCGAAAGAAGAATCTGCATTTAGCTGAAGATGCTCAAGGGTTCAGTGATTACACTTAGCAAAGACTGAGGTTTACAATTCAGATGCTGGTTTCCACGAACCATTTAGGCAGTAAGTCCTGTAAGCATCTTCTGATGTACGTAAATACTGTCCCTCTAACAAGCAAAAGCAAAATACAGATCAGGGGAAAGAACTTTCCAAGTGGAAGGTGGTTCCATAGCTTCTTGTAGGACAGGCTGTAGGAGCTCAGAATCCTTATCATACTGCCGTCTCTTTATCTTGAAAACTTCCATTGGCTTCAGTGAAACTGGGTTTTTTTGGACTTGACTTTCTTTAAGGCACAGACTCTGATCTCCTAGATTGGGTGTAAAGTGTATACTGTATTACTGATGATAAAAATCACTTGCCTTGCAGTGAGTCCACACTAGAGTCATGAATTTCTGGGTATTACCTCCAAAAGCACAGAGCAAACAGTGCTTTGTCTTGTACTGTTGTTATTCTTGAAGATGGGAAAAAAAAAAGCTCTGATATATGTAGATCAATATGGAAAAATTCTTGCAAAGCTGAAGAGTTTCCTCTGTGAACTCTTGACTCTGAAATCTCTGAGTGCACCTCGTAAAAATGAAACTGTCAGTGGAAAGCTGGGTTTGGTTTCTGTGCCTTTCTCTGATATCTGAAGCACAGTGCAGGAGTGCACTTCATACACTAAAAAGCACGAAATGTTTTCTATATATAAGAGTTAAAAATAAAGGATGAATTTCATAATGAAAGAAAATTAATCAGCTAGAACACTTGGGTGGTTCTGCTTTAAGAACCTGACAGTGATGGCTTCACAAAGAGTTGTGAACTAGTGCTACTCCTGAACTATTAATAAGGAACTGCAGAACAACCTTTGACTTGTGTACATGGACCAAAAGCAGTTATATGAGCCGAGATGCAGTGCCCCAGACATTGTATTCCAACGGGACATTTGGAGTGCTTTGAGATGTTCTGTACTATCAACTTCCTTTCTGGTGTTCTAGATGAAAACCAAAGTGAACACACAATGCAGAAAGTAAATGAAAGACAACTCTCTCAAAACAGACTGTACCTAAGGTTAGCTATTTCAAATAGAATCAAGTCAGAAACTAGCAGCCAAGTTTTGCATTTCACACTCGGACAAATGTTGCTGTTAGCTCATTGGGGCTGGATTTTCAGTTTGCCCAGTTTCTGTGTTGGCTCCCAAACCTGGCATGTTGTTTATTCTGAGAATCCCAGCAGGAGCTGCTAGTGGGATCCTTCTTGTTGGCTCGTTTTTCTGATGATACTTGCAGCTGTCCCTGCTTCAGACAGGTGCTGCCAGCTCTGTTCCCTCTGCCAGTGCTGAGCTCTGCAGAACAAACAGCCTCAGCCAGGATCTGGCCCAGAGCCCCTGGGCTTTTGCTTCTGCTGTCCCAGTTGGGAGTTCGCAGTCCCGCTGACACCCTGGTTTCTCCAACTTGGAAGTAGTCTTCCACCCAAAGCCCTGCTCATTCAGGAATTCTCAAGTATGCAGGGACTCTGTGTCTCAACCAAAAGAGAAGCTGGTGTGCTTGTGAACTGAGGAGGAGGGAGTAGCCCTCGCTGTCTGTCCTCGCTGTCTAGAGAATAGTTCTGGTTGCATAAAGAAGACTTGTTATAAGGTAGCGGTAATGTTTCTTGTCCTGATACCTCTATTGACTCTCAGCAAGTTTGCTGATGACACAAAACTGGGAGGAGTGGTGGATACACTGGAAGGCTGTGCTGCCATCCAGCAAAACCTGGACAATTTGGAGAGCTGGGTGCAGAGGAACCTGATGAAGTTCAACAAGGGCAAGTGCAGGGTCCTGCACCTGGGGAGGAACAACCCCATGCACCAGTACAGGCTTGGGGCGGACCTGCTAGAGAGCAGCTCTGTGGAGAGGGACCTGGGAGTGCTCGTGGACAACAGGTTAACCATGAGCCAGCAGTGTGCCCTGGCTGCCAAGAAAGCCAATAGGATCCTGGGATGCATTAAGAAAAGTGTGTGGCCAGCAGGTCGAGGGAGGTTCTCCTTCCCCTCTAGTCTCCCCTAGTGAGGCCCCATCTGGAGTACTGTGTCCAGTTCTGGGCTCCCCCATTCAAGAAGGATGAGGAACTATTGGAGAGAGTCCAGCAGAGGGCTATGAGGATGATGAGGGGACTGGAGCATCTCTCCTACGAGGAAAGGCTGAGCGAACTGGATTTGTTTAGCCTGAAGAAGAGAAGGCTGAGAGGGGACCTTATAAATGCTTATAAATATCTTAAGGGTGGGTGTCAGGAGGATGAGGCCAGACTCTTTTCAGTGGTGCCCAGTGACAGGACAAGGAGCAATGGGCACAAACTGAAGCATGGGAAGTTCCGTCTGAACATGAGGAAGAACTTCTTCCCTCTGAGGGTGATGGAGCACAGGAACAGGCTGCCCAGGGAGGTTGTGGAGTCTCCTTCTCTGGAGATATTCAAGACCTGCCTGGACAAGGTCCTGTGCAGCCTGCAGTAGGTGACCCTGCTTTGGCAGGGGGGGTGGACTAGATGACCCACAGAGGTCCCTTCCAACCCCGAACATTCTGGGATTCTGTGATCCTGTGATTCAGGAGTTTCTGTCCCTTCTGTGGAGCTGGCCATGGCACGTGAAGCAGCAGCTGAAATGCTGTGCTTTACTGGCAAGGTACTGCATGAAACTGGCACCAGTTTCTGAGTAACTTAATATGCAAGCACTAACTAACCAGAGCTCTTACTCTACCCAGCCCACTAGGCTTTTTCTCTGCCAGCTAGCCTGGAGTACTTCTTTTGCCATCTGCTTGGCTGGTGTGTAAAGAGACCTGTGATTTGGTCTCTCTTTCCTCATCCAGTTTTGGGACCTCCGTGGATGTTAACCTGGCTGTTGTACTTGGAGACGTGACACTTACTTCCCTGGCTGGCTTCTTTAGCTTTTTTTTTTTTTTTTTCACTATATGTTTTCAGGCAGACAGCCATGCAAAATTGAACATTGCATTCGTTAGTGCTCATCAAATGAAAATAGCAAAAACTCTGTTCACCTTCACGATAAACAGTAGTTTGCAAACCTTGTAAAAGCATTTTTGCTGTGTGTAGCTGGGAGCTGAGTAGCCAATGAGGACAACGTCTGAACTCGCATAGTTCATGTAATTCACTTGATAGAAAGTATTGACCATTTCCTATTTGCCAAATAGTCACTGCTTCTACAATAATGAGGAGTACTTGTATTAGGACCCTTGGTGAGTCCTAACTTGTGGAAAACTCTGAACACCTGCCTCTGGAAATACAGCCCTTGTAAGGCTTTGTAAAAGGATGTACAAAATTGTGGGCGGCTTTTGAAAATCTTGGGCATAGGAGTTCAGCTCTGCTTCAGACTGCTGCATTTTTTTTTCTTTTCCAGAACCTTTGCCAAACGCTCTGGTGCTCAGTGAAAGGCTCCTGCCGCTCCAAACTGGATGCAGCTGCGGATGGAACAAGATGCGGAGAAAACAAGGTGACTGTGAGCTGTGCTGCCCGCAAGCTGTGCTGGTCACAAAAGGGCAATGGAGGAACCATAAGTAGCTCTGCCATTCTTCTGCATGAATGAGGGGCATCCCATGACATCTCCATTTACATTTCCACTTAAGTTTTTGACCTTCAGGGACCGAAATAACAAATAATTCCCAATAACATTTTCATGCAATAATAATTTTAAGCTGTTTGTCCTTTCTCTGCTCTCTTCAGTGGTGTTTCTCTGGTGAGTGCATTACAGTAGGCAAGACTCCTGAAGCAATCCATGGCGGATGGGGTGTTTGGTCATCCTGGTCCCATTGCACAAGGACATGTGGGGCAGGGATTCAGAGCGCAGAGAGACCATGCGACAACCCAGAGTAAGCTGAGTGCACAATCTTTTCTTACCTTTTATTCAAGATCTTTGAGGTACTTGTGACATTGGAAATTCTTTTGTGTGAGAGTGTTGTCGGCAGGTGCCACAGCAAGACAGGCATTGAACACCTCTCCTTCTCAGTTAAGTATACCTGCGTAAAATTCAGTTGGCTTACATTTTACAATTGCCATCTTGTTCTTTAATCCTTACCCTCCATGGAGCTTATTTCTATACAAAATAAGTCAAGTCGTGTTACTTAGCATTCAGGCGTTGCAGAAATAATAGGAATGTTGCTTTAGTAATACTGCCATGAATAAATAAATGTCACAGAATCAAAGAATGTTAGGGGTTGGAAGGGACCTCTGTGGGTCACCCAGTCCAACCAACCTGCCAAAGCAGGGTCACCTACAGCAGGCTGCACAGGACTGCATCCAGGCGAGTCTGGAATATCTCCAGAGAAGGAGACTCCACAACCTCCCTGGGCAGCCTGTTCCTGTGCTCCATCACCCTCAGAGGGAAGAAGTTCTTCCTCATGTTCAAACAGAACTTCTGTGCTTCAGTTTGTGCCCATTGCCCCTTGTCCTGTCCCTGGGCACCACTGAAAAGAGTCTGGCCCCATCTTCCTGGCACCCACCCTTAAGATATTTATAAGCATTTATGAGGTCTGCTCTCAGCCTTCTCTTCTTCAGGCTGAACAAGCCCAGCTCCCTCAGCCTTCCCTCGCAGGAGAGATGTTCCAGTCCCCTCATCATCCTCGCAGCCCTCCGCTGGACTCTCTCCAGTAGCTCCTCATCTTTCTTGAACTGGGGAGCCCAGAACTGGACAGAGTACTCCAGACGGGGCCTCACTAGGGCACAGTAGAGGGGGAGAACCTCCCTCGACCTGCTGGCCATACACTTTTCTTAATGCACCCCAGGATATCATTGGCCTTCTAGGCAGCCAGGGCACACTGCTGGCTCATGGTAAACTTCTCATCCACCAGGACACCCAGGTCCCTCTCCACAGAGCTGCTCTCTAGCAGGTCTGCCCCAAGCCTGTACTGGTGCATGTCCTCAAACACTGGGTGAGAACAACAGCTAGCAATCCGTTCCTGAGGGAAATCAAAGACTCACCTTTCATGTTTTATTCTAGTCATCAGCTTTATTTGAGCTTCAGATACATGAGTTGATAGATAGAGAACATGAAAGACAGAATTTCCTAATAGGCATCTGAAGTCATGAAGATGCTACATCTCATTTTCAGAAATCACTAAGAGGATACTTAACAGCAGAAATCACTTGGCTTTTTAGAAGAACTGTCAATCATTCTGGACAATATGGTATTTTGGGGAGTTCATTTGATAAGGTAATTTGTTGTGAGCTCAGCTGGGCAATGTATCAAGCACTTCTTTGGGATACAGGGTTTGTCTGGATCTCTGTGCTCTATACTCACATGTTCGAGTACTTGAACAGGTGAATGGTATCTCTACTCTGTCAAGGATTCAGATTCACCTTCTTAACCCACTGGAACCTGACAGACAAGGTTCTTTTAAAACTACATTCTACCCAGAATCTAACATCCCAATCTCAATGTTCCTTTTCTAGACCACAGTTTGGAGGAGACTACTGCACTGGAGAAAGGAAACGCTATCGCATGTGTAACATTAGCCCCTGTCGCAAAGGCTTGCCAACCTTTCGTCAGATGCAGTGCAGTGAATTTGATACAGTTCCCTACCAGAATGAATTCTACCACTGGGTTCCCGTTTATAACACAGGTATGAAGCTACAAATTTTTTAGTATCTTGTATAAGACCTCAAATTTACAGACCTATGAGAAACCCTTATGAGGGCAAGAAGTCACTGAATTATAAGTCTTTTATTTAATTAGACAGAAAAATCGAATGTCCCTCCATATGCATGTATGCCTTTTGAGTATACACAAAGTCAGTCACTCTCTTCTACACATTGATGGTTTTGCAAAGCTCTGGTGATAATGGCTGTCAGTGTAACTAGCCCAGTTCCTGGAAAGATAATGCACAAAGAAGAGCAGTTGAAGTCGTGTCTGTACTAATTGTTTGGGATAGACCTAAACCATCTTTTCCAGTGTCAACTGCAGAACAAGAAATACAGTAGTATAATGTAGAGCTGCATGTTTTGGCCTGCATACATCACTGCATCCAATAAGCAGAGCTGTTCCACTGCACAAGTGTAACTTTACTACTTACACGCTCATATCTGCATGGTAAGTGTACCTGGCACCACACGGAGCAAGCAATACCTCAACAGGTTCGGTATTGTACTGCTCTGTATTGTAGAGACAGAATCAGTCCCTCTGCCTTATAGTTACTAAATACAGGGATAATAGTTATTACCATGCAGTTTGATTCTTGGTGTATGCATAAACATAAGGTGTGGATTATCCAGTAGAAGCTAGTGGTGTAATTTTTTTATGCAAAAATAAACCATACAGAGAAGTGAAGCTTAAGATTCAAATTTTGGTTTAGTTTGCCAAAAGTATTTTTCAGCAAGTTCATTGCATTTTCGCAGTTATTGGCAGTTCTGAGTAGGTTTCGTAAATTTCAGCTACTGTTTCAATTTCGCCTAACAAATACACCACTGAAGATGAACCTGAAGCAGACAGACTTTCAGGAAAATTTCGGATGAAAGAAAATACGGTTGATAGAAAAAGACTTTTTCAGAGGGACTCCCAGTAAAGCAAACCATGGTTAAACTCTAACGGTCTAAGGCTTAGTTCAAAGCCAAACTCATAAACCATTTTCTGCAGTCACCTGTTGCTGAAATGGGGTTTCCAGTCCTCTCTGTTGCTCATGTGTACCACTGGAGGGTACAGCCTCCCTTTATGTCCTCTCTAGGGCAGTGCTACAGAACTGGTAGTTCTGCATGTGCATTTTTTGCAGAATGTCTGCTTTTAAAGGGCATTAAGAATCATGAATTAAATGCTTCCTGCACAGTGGAAGGCAGGCATATGGTGTGTCCATGACGTGTTTCAGATAGAGCTGACTGGAGCTTTACAGGCAAATCACCTTTAAAATGATGCGTTATTGAGCCTGATGTATTTCATCTGGAAAATACAGGGTTTCAGTGACCTTTTGCAAAATCCTTCATATACCAAGGAAATATTTTTTTCTGTGGCTTGAAAAGCTGTTTGACTGTCTTCACTCATCTTCTCAGCAGCCAGAATTTCGGTCTAGACTCCTCTGTGATCTGTGAGGTCCTTCATGTTTGCAACTTCATTCTTACATTCCATTAACAGCATCTGAAGTGTTTTCTTGTTGCTAAACTGTAACTTACTTGGCTTCCTCAGGCAGGGTCTCTTGGGAACACTCATCTAAGCAAGGAGTTGGCCAAACCCTGTGCTGATCCATCACCTGAAATCATCATTGTATGGTGGAAGGTGGGTGGCTGTCATGAGCACACTGCTTCCAGTTTTGTCCAGCCAGTGTTACCTGCTCTCCTGAAATACATCTGAGAGTTTTCCTCCCATGTCAGTTTCAAATTTTCTTTCACCTTCCATTCGTTGCTAAAGACGTCCTGGGCAAAATAGCTTCAAGTAGCGTCATGAAACAATGCTCTCTCTGTGAGATGGAGCGCTTTGAGCCTTTCTTGTGAATGTTTGTCCTAAACAGACGAAGACATTAAACAAAAGCAAACCAACAGCGTCTTGTAAAACCCCCACAAAAAACAACTGATGTTTCAGGGCTCTGAAGACTTAATCACCATAGCCACCATGTGTACACCACCAACCTTTGTCAGTGTACACCAACTTCTCTTACTTTTCCCCTTACCTGGGGCAATCCTATTTCAAAGACTTTTCACAGCACCCTGTTACTACTTGAGCTTGCTGCCAAGAGGGTTTTGGGTAGTGTGGTGGGTTGGCTTTGGCTGGACGGCAGGTTCCCACCAAAGCCGCTCTATTACTCCCCCTCCTCAGCTGGACAGGGGAGAGAAGATATAATTAAAGCTCCTGGGTTGAGATAGGGGCAGGGACAGATCACTCACCACTTACCGTCACGGGCGAAACAGACTCGACTTGGGGAAAATTAATTTAGTTTATTACCAAACAAATCAGAGTAAGATAATGAGAAATAAAAAATAAATCTTAAAAGCACCTTCCCTCCACCCCTCCCTTCTCCCAGGCTCAACTTTAGTTCTGAATTCTTTCCCTTCTGCCCCTGGGCATCTACACCAATGCACGTAGCATGGGCAATAAACACGATGAGCTGGAAGCCTCTGTGCAGCAGGATAGCTATGACATGGTCACCATCACATTAAAGTGATGGGCTGACTCTCATGACTGGACTGCTGCAATGGATGACTACAAACTCTTCAGAAAGGATAGGCGAGGAAAGAGAGGTTATGGGGTGGCTCTGTACGTCAGGGACTGCCTCAAATGTATAGAGCTCAATGATTGTGATGACAAGGTTGAATGCTTATGGGTGAAGATGGGGGGGGAAGGCAAGAAGTTACACATCCTTCTGGGGGTCTGTTATAGACCACCCAACCAGGGTGAAGAGGCAGATGAAGTTTTCTACAAGAGGCTGGCACAAGTCTCACAATGGCTAGCCCTTGTTGTTGTGGGGGACTTTAACTTCCTGGATATCTGCTGGAAATAAAACATAGCAGAGAGGAAGCAGTCCAGGAGGAGATTCCTGGAGTGTGTGGAAGTCTTACAGGCACAGGAGCAGGCTGTCGCCATGTGCTGCAAGATGAACCTGTGGGGAAGGCGACCGGTGTGGCTGAACAGGGAGCTCTTGCTGGGACTCAGGAAAAAAAGGAGGGTCTACCACTTATGGAAGAAAGGACAGGTGACTCAAGAGGAGCCACAGGAATCTCGTTAGGTCATGCAGAGAGGAACTTAGAAAGGCAAAAGCCCAGCTAGAGCTCAGGCTGGCCACTGTTGTAAGGGACAACAAAAAATGTTTTTACAAATAC